ATCACGAGGTCAGGAGATCGAGACCATCCTGGCTAACACGGTGAAACCCCGTCTCTACTAAAAAATACAAAAAACTAGCCGGGCGAGGTGGCGGGTGCCTGTGGTCCCAGCTACTCGGGAGGCTGAGGCAGGAGAATGGCGGGAACCCGGGAGGCGGAGCTTGCAGTGAGCTGAGATCCGGCCACTGTACTCCAGCCTGGGCGACAGAGCGAGACTCCGTCTCAAAAAAAAAAAAAAAAAAAAAAAAAAAAAAAAAATTAAAAAAAAAAAAATGCATCAACAGAGTCTTTTACCCTCTGACTTTGGGTGGCTTCCACCAGTGGGAGGCATCAGCCCAAGATCAGAGGGTGGGGGAAAATGAGGTGTGCTCCCTTCCTTCAGGGTCTCCATTAGTGGGCTGTCTGGCTGACCCCTGTGCTCTCCAGGGTAATGGCTCCTCCTTCTCCCCAGGCCTAGAGCTAGTGAGCTTCCCACTATTGCTATTGTATTGTTTTTTGGTTTCCCTTCACCCTGCCTACGCTGCTACAATTAGATCCTTCATTATACCTTTCTCAGTTACTCTGTTGGAGTGTGTCATGGGTTTCCCGTTAGGACTCTGACCTACCAATAGATTATGACCTAGGAAGTCAGAGTGACCTTTGCTTACCAGTGTGGGTGATCAATACAGGTTAACAGTTGAAGGGCCGGGCGCAGTGGCTCATGCCTGTAATCCCAGCACTTTGAGAGGCCGAGGTGGGAAGATTGCTTGAGCTTAGGAGTTTGAGACCCACCTGGGCAACATGGCGAAACCCTGCCTCTACAAAAAGAAAGAAAAAAAAATTAGCCCGTTGTGGTGGTGCGCATCTGTAGTTCTGCTACTCCAGAAGCTGAGGTGGGAGGGTCACCTGAGCCCAGGGAGGTGAAAGCAGCAGTGAGCTGAGATTGTGCCACTCCAGCCTGGGCGACACAGCAAGACTCTATCTCAAAACAACAACAACAAAAACAGTTGAAAACTCAGGACCAGGGATAGGAGACGGTATTGTCTCCCACGAGACCTTATCCACATAGAATAGTAGAATAGGCTCTTTACCTTTTTTGGACAGCCTTTGCTCATTATATAAGGAACTATGGAGGTTATTGGCTCTAACCAGTCAGTTTTGCTTTCTTTGTGTCCTTAGTCTTATGATCTTTAGGAAAATAATGCTGTCTGAATGTCTTATCTTGATAGTGGAGCCTGAGACAAGACAATGACTAATTACATAAGTTTGTGATGCCACCAATAAAAGCCGTTTTGTAACTGCTTGTTTGAAGAAGGACCTGGCTTGGTTTAACTCATTATGAAAGTGCTGATCAATTCAGTCAACCGAAACAGCAATTTTAACTCTTCATGGCCATTCAGACCTGCAATGATGAAGCCTCTGCTACTCTAGATCTGGCTCTGTGTATACTTGGGAGCTTGAGGACTCACAAAGTCCCCAGGAGGGTACACATACTCAAAGGTAGGGGGCCTTTCAGGGCAGTCCATTTGGGATCCTTGCCAGCTATCAGGAAAACAGTATCAGTGATGCTCTGTTAGCTGGTGCTGAAGAAAGAACCAGAAGAAAAAGAAACCACAATTGCACCTTGAGGGCCGGTGTGTACTCTCTGGATGGATATCGGCTGGATCAGCAGTAAAGAATTTACGGCTCAGCAGGCCATGCCATCATGGCTTGTACTTTGCCGGCTGACCTGGTGTTTGAATTTCCCTGCCTTCAAGCTTTGGCTGTTCCACTGGGCTAGTATCAATCACTTTTTGATGTATCTTCAGGCTGGGTCCTTTTTTCCTCCAGACTGCTGTGGAAACTAGAAACATAGCAACAATGCCAACATTCCCCCTGGGAGGGCTCTTGTTCAGCCCCCTTCCTGGCCAACAGCGCTGTGCTGTCCCCACCATGGCAGAAATGCACATTGTGCTGGGAAGGAGGAGCCAGCCATCTTGCAGACCCTGCTACTGGCTGGTCACCAAGCTGGGCACCTTGCAGCTTTTCTGTCACTGGTTTTCTAGTGGGCTCTGGCACTGCCCCGTCAGCCCTCTGCCTTGTCAGGTGGGCTCACTTTCTCATTCCCCTAGGGAGCTGCTCCATCCTAGTCATTTCCTCCCAAGCCCCTCTCTTCCCTCCCTTTGTTGATGACCTATACTTTGCCAGGAACATAGGAGACACCAGGCTTCCTTAACCCCGACCCCCTTAGTCAGATCACCTGCCTGTCCCTGGCCTGTGTTCTCTCCAGTGACAACCTTGGGAGTATCCCTCCTCCTGCCCAAGGCCAGAGTGGGGGCTCTAGGTCTGGTTACTTCTCTTGTGTCCTTTCCAGGGACATCAGGCCTTCTCTCATAGGTGTCAGCAATGTGTCTGTCAAGGGCTCCACTAAGCTGGAGAGAGTGGCTAATTGAAGTAATAAGCCAAACATGAAAATAACAGAAGCGCCTGTAATCCCAGCACTTTGGGAGGCCAAGGTGGCTGGATCACTTGAGGTCAGGAGTTCGATACCAGCCTGGCCAACATAGTGAAACTCCGTCTCTACTAAAAATACAAAAGTTAGCTAGGCGTGGTGGCACACCACTATAGTCCCAGCTACTCAGGAGGATGAGGCAGGAGAATCGCTTGAACCCAAGAGGTGGAGGTTGAAGTGAACTTAGATTGTGCCACTGTATTCCAGCCTGGGCAACAGAGCAAGACTGCGTCTCAAAAAAAAAAAAAAAAAAAAAAAGGAAAGTAACAGTGAAGCCCTCATCACTCACTGCAGGGGCAGAAGCAAGAGGATTCCACCCTCCCCGCAACAGAGCTCCAGTCAAGAGTCAAGTAATCTGTATAGATGTGGGGGTGAAGGTCATCTCTCTGTTGAGGCTTCTGCAGTTTTATGGTCCCAGGAACCAGGGGGAGGGAGAGAGGGGGGGCCAGGAGTGGGAAAGAACTGAGTCAGAGTGGATAACAGTGTCTTCATGGCTCCCTCTTCCCTACCCCCTGAGAATAAGGAGGCCTTAACTGAGGTGCCTGAAGAAGGCCTTGGGCACAGGTGCGGGGCTGGGAACACAGGTGCATGTAAGAGTATGGCCGGCAGGGGCCTGAGACCTTGACCGCAGCTCCCTCCAGGGGCTGCAGTGCACCGGCTATGCCAGATCTGGTCTGGAGAGGGAGCCTCCCTGTGAGGCCCGCCTGGCACAGCCTTATAGTTGCCCAGGGTCAGTCCTGAAAAACCACCCCTGGGATTCTAACTGGGAGCCGGACTCATTTCCTGTCTACAGGCCTCAGGCGACAGTACACAGTGGTGGTGTAATATCACCCACCTGAAATATCCCCCCTTCCAGGCACTGCCACGCTTCTCTGAGTCCAAAAGCTGTCCTTCTCAAAGGAGCTGGCTGCCTCAGTTTCTCCATACCCTCCTGTTCACTCCTCAATACCCTGAAGTCTAGACTTTATTGTCATCACTGCTGCAACAGGTCTTCCCAAGGTCTCTAGGTTAGGCTGGGTTCGCTGGAAACACACTCGGGAAGGAAGATTTGCATGTGGGAAATTCATCTGGAAATGCTCTTGGGGACAGCACTTGTAAGGAGTGAGGAAAGTAGGACTGGGCAGAGGGAGAAGTTGGAGAAGGATGATGATTCAGAGTTGCCTGAAGTTAACGCAAGGGGGCCCAGCCTTGGGGGAACACCCAGCTTCCGTTTCCCTAGAAATGAAAGCAGTCTCCTGCCTGGTGGAGGGGGCGTGACTTACGCCTGATTGGCAGCTCCCTGGATGAGGAGCAGGGAATCGCTGAAAGTCCACCTTGAGCTCCAGCCTCTTGTTTTTAGAACAGTGCCTTACCCCTGTTGTTATTGGATTGAGGATTCCGATTCCCTGTTCATTGTTGGCTGGAGGCACCCTCAGGTCCTAGCCACGTGACTTCTTCAATATGGCAGCTTGCTTCATGCAAGTGTGCTGTCCAAGAAGGCAACAGAGTCTGCTGGCAAGATGAGAATTACGATCGTATAGAACCTAAGACAGCATCCTGTCACCTGTGTCCCTTTCCATGGGTAGAAACAGGTCATTGGTACTGTCCACACTCAAGAGGAAGGGATTACCCAAGGGCGTGGCTACCAGGAGGTGGGGATCATGGGTGGCTATCTTAGATGATAGATTCTGGAGCCAGACCATTTGGGTTCAAATCCTGGCTCTGTCACTTCTTACCTTTGTGATCTTAGGTAAGTGATTGAACCTCTCTGTGCCATAGTTTCTTTATCTGAAAAATGGGGCAGATAATAGTATCTGCTTAACTGGGTTGCTGTGGGAATTAAATGAAAATGTAAAAGTGCTTAGAACAAGACCTGCACATAGGAAGCAGTAAGTAAGGATGGGCTATCACTCCCACCCCATCAGCTCCAAGGGGCAGGTTTGCAGTGCAGCCCTCAGGGGCAGCCCGGTAGCAGGCAGGCCCCAAGTAGAGGCCAAGATGGGGGGAATTGCAGCTGGCTTGTGTTTCCTGTTTTTATTGAATTGTTCAACCCAATTTAAAGTCTGTCCTTGCCTCGACTCCTCCTGCTCAGCGATATTACTCCCACAGCTTTAACCTTCTGGGTATATTTTTTATCACAATCCAACGGCAATAAATTTGACCTCATAAAGTACCAGCCCAATAGTCAGTGACTGTTTAATTAGGAGTTCTGATGGGCATGGAAACAAAGGCATTGTTTGGTGTCTGCTTGATTCAAACAGGAGTGGTGAGGTGGTCAGGAGACAGAACCATGGACCTGACTCAGGGAGAAAAATCTTGTTGAGTCTCTGAGTCTCTAGTCCATAAAATAGACTTTGTTTTTTACTTCCCTTTTGCTTTTTAAGGAAGTTGATTTGCATCAGCATTTTCTGGACTAGAGAGTTCAGGAAATGGGACAGTGAGGCAGCATGAATAGTCATTCTAAGGTACGTGCCTTGCTGAGAAGAGTAAGCTACTAACTTCCCATAAAATACACCCGAATGACCCTCTGCCCATCTTCTTCCCCATTTTAGGTACTAAGAAGATATTAGAACTGGTCAGGATAAAACAATGGAGCCTTTCTGTGCTGGATTAAGTTTTCTATGGCTGCCGTAACAAATGAACACAAGCTGGATGGTTTAAAACAACAGAAATTGGCCAAGGAATGCAGCCCGGTAGGTTTCAGCCTTACTTTACCCAGCCTCTATTCAAGATGGAGTCACTCTGGTTCAAACACCTTTGAGAATGGCACCAGCAGATTGAGTGTCTGGTGGGGGCCTGTCCTCAGAGGTGGCGCCTTCTCTGTGTCCTCACATGTTGGAAGAGGTGGGCAGCTCCTCTTTTATGAGGTCATTAATCCCATTCGCCACCTCCTAAAGAGCTCACCTCTTAATACATCAGGCGTTAGATTCCTACATACGAATTTTGGAGGCACACAAACATCCAGACTGTAGCATCCAGATATCCTGTACAGAACATAACTCTTTTCTTTGACCTCACATATTTGTTTTACTTTTGTTTTTCGCTTGCATATGTTTTATGGTGATTTGTTAACTTACAGCTCTCTGTTTAATTTGCATGTATAATTGTCATGTATCCCAAGAAGGCCTTTTTTTTTTTTTTTTTTTTTTTGAGATGGAGTTTCCCTCTTGTCACCCAGGCTGGAGTGCGTGGCGCGATCTCAGCTCACTGCAACCTCCGCCTCCTGGGTTCAAACAATTCTTCTGCCTCAGCCTCCTGAGTAGCAGGGATTACAGGCACCTGCCACCACGGCCAGCTAATTTTTTGTATGTTTAGTAGAGACGGGGTATCACCATGTTGACCAGGCTGGTCTCAAACTCCTGACCTCAGGTGATCCATCTGCCTCTGGCCTTCCAAAGTGCTGGGATTACAGGGGTAAGCCACCGCACCCAGCCATTATTTTTTATTATCCATTAATTAAACAGGTATTTCTTCGTACCAACTACTTAGGATTATCTATTAGGCACAAAGAAAGGGGTAGCAACTTGGAGAATTGCTTCCCAGGTGGTCAGTGGTAAGCAGCCGAGAAGCTGAATGCACGGGAAGGATACATTCCTGGGGCACGTGTCCCAGAGACACAATCCCTCAGGAAAGAAATCTTCCTGTGAAAGCACAAGGTAATGAGGAGTCAGTTAGTTGGGTATTAAAAGAAAGTGACCCGTTTGAAAGCCAGATAACAGAAGGTCACACAGAAGTGCAGAGAAGCATGTCCTTTCAATCTATCATACCTATTCTGCTACGGCAGCTGTTCTCCACCTTGACTGCACGCTGGAATCACCTAGGAGCTTTAAAAATTGCTGATGCAAGAATCTCTCTCCAGAAAGCTGAAATTCATTGGTCATGGTAAGGCCTGGGCATCCGCATTTCTAAAGCTCTCCTGGTGGCCGCAGTGTGCAGCTACGGTTGAGACCCATAGTTGCGAGAGGAAGGAACAAAGGTGCCCTGGAGGCTAAACCAGTCTGGGGCTGGGTGTGGGAGGTATGTTAGGGGAGGAGCAGGAGCCCCATGAGGAAGTGAGATCTTTTCAACAAGGCGAGGCAGCCAGAAAGAATGAGGAGGAAAGGTGGAAGGGGGTGAGGATGGCTTACACTGTCCTCTCCTCAGGGAGTCTTTCAAACCAACTGGACATATGTTTTCTGCTAGAATGTCTGATTGGTGGTCCACAGATGCTCTGCTGAAACCCCTTCTGGTCCCAGAATACTTGGATATTTTCCCACAGGTGGAGTTCTTCCCTTAGTCACTTCCTGGTGAAGTCACTTCCGTTGTTTGGGGAAATACCCGAGGTTCATTGTCTTATGCTAAAGAAATTGAAGACCCAGACACAGGAAATCAAAGACATGAACACACAAACACTGGGTTTAAGAGTGGAAGTTTAATAGGTGAAAGAAAGAAGAGAGAGCTTCCTTGTACAGAGCCAGGGGGTCCGAGTGGGTTTCCGGGTTTGGAGCGAGATACGGTTGGTTTTGTAGACGAGCTTGAAGAGGCAGTGTTTGATTTATATAGGCCATAGTGGATTGGTTAGGCCAGCTCTTCCATTTACATAGCCCACAAAGAGGCTGGCCATCCTACCCTAATCTTTTATTCTGCAGATGGGGTCTCTACCTGGCCAGCGCCATGACACCTGCACACAAGATGACAAAGAGAAGGGAGGAGGAACCTCCATATTGGATGTACCTGGCTTCCAGGTATCCCTTTTCTATTGGCACAGCTGCTGCATTCACCTGTGCAAGCTTCCAGCTTGCTTATCTATGCTTGCAGCTTGATTTTTCAGGCTGATTTTTGTTAGAAATGTTTTGGGGGCTGCTTTTTTATTAAAAGAAAATTCCACCAAGAACTCTTTTACCCTTACTAACTGCCTAAATAATTTCTTTTTTAACTCCTCTATCACTGGCTGCAAAATTTGCAGCTTTGGCAGATTAAATGTGTTACCTACATCCTCCCAACAGTGGGGCTCCAGCCCAGAGACTCGAAATCCACCCTGAGTACCAGCAGGATATAGGTCACACATCTGAGATGAGCTCTTAGCACAGCCCCCATGGTTGCCTCAGGCTTTTGTTATGTAGTTTCAGAGGTTCCTGTGGAAGGTTCAAACCACAAGGACTAAATGAAAGATTATATGTTTTTATCACAAAGTCTGGCACATAGTAAGCACCTCATACATGATACCTTTGTCCATATTATGACTTACCTAAAAAGAAAAAAAAATCAAGTAAATTTAAGAAGACAACTGTTGTCTTCATTCCCTCGACCTCGCATAGTTCTGTGACATGGAAAGAGAAACTCTCCTGGTGAGAAAAGTCCTCTGAGTGCCTGTTTCAGGAATGCAAATAAAAAGGAACCAAGCAGGCGCTGATTCCCCAGTGTCCTCACCAGCATCCTTGTGGTGCTGTGTGAACGCCATCAGCCCTGCTGTTCTCTGCATCTCTCCAAGTAGACCCTGCAAAGGCTGGTGAGGGACACAGGCTCAGCCCATCTCATGTATCAGCTGGTCTGGACCCTGCACATCCTAACATGGTGCTCAGCAGTTTCTGGCTGTTTGGGAACCACTGCTCAGCATGGGCAGTGTCCCCTCCTATAGATGTCACCCCATAACACCCTCCCTTTCAGACTGGAGTGGAAATGTTCCCTATCAGACAGAAAGATCCCGAAACAAGACCGCTTCTGAGGTTAAGTAGCAAAATGAAAGTGAGATTCCCAAACAGATTTCTTTTTCTGAGACAAAGACCCATTATCAGCTCATTTTGAGAAGATGCTGTGTGTTTTGAACACCTATGGGGACTGAATACATGTTCAAATGATGACTATTTGTAAGCTTTTATATATTCATTACAATTTTCCCCAACTTTTATTTTGAAAACTTTAAACCTTTAGAAAAATTTAATGCCCAGACAACCTTCATCTAGAATCACTATTAATGCTTCACCACGTTTGCTTTCTCTCTCTGTCTCTCTCTCTCCACACACACAAGTGCACTTTAACAGCTCTGACATTTAGATGTGTCTTACAGTTGATAATGAGGCATAGCTAAGTGACACTTTCCTTTTTTCCCCAGTGGTTCAAATATTAACAGTGAATCTTACAATTGATGGCATCTTAGATTCAATAGACAACAGAACTGGAAACTGCTCAGTATAATGTCTGGCTTATTGTCAATGCTACACAAATGCCAGCTATCATTACTATATTAATATAATGGTGAATTTGTCTAATTCTTCTTATAATTTTGTCCATTTTGATCTATTTCAGAGCTGTGTTGTTAAGTGCCTATACATTTACAACTGCTTCACCTTCCTGGTGAACTGAAACTTTTTTCTTTTTTTTTTTTTTGAGACGGAGTCTTACTCTGTCACTCAGGCTGGAGTGCAATGGTGCGATCTTGGCTCACGGCAACCTCTGTCTTCCGGGTTCAAGCGATTCTTCTGCCTCAACCTGCTGAGTAGCTAGGATTACAGGCATGCACTACCACGCCCAGCTAATTTTTGTATTGTAGTAGAGACAGGGTTTCACCATATTGGTCAGGCTGGTCTCGAACTCCTGACCTCGTGATTCGCTCTCCGTGGCCTCCCAAAGTGCTGGGATTACAGGTGTGAGCCACCGTGTCCTGCTGAAACTTTTTATGATCATATAGCAGTCCTTCTTTAGTATTGCTTTGTGCCTTAAAGTTTATTTTGTATGATATTAATATAGTGAAATTAGCTTTCTTGGTTAGAATTTGCCTGGTATATCTTTTGCCCTCTTTTTACTTCAAATTTTTCTGTATCCTTATTTATTTATTTATTTTTTTGGTGGGTGTTTATAAAAACCTAAAGCTTTATTCTTTTAAAAAAATATAGTCTGATAACTTTTATTTTGCTGGATCACTTAGTCCATTTGATTTTGGACTCATTTCTATTATGTTGCTTTATGTTTTGTATTTGTTCCTTTTTTTTTGTTAAGGTTCGTTTCTCTCCTTCCTTGTCCAAGTAACCCTTTTACTGCGTAATTTTTTTTTTTTCTTTTGAGACAGAGTCTTGCTCTGTCGCCCAGGCTAGAATGCAGAGGCGTGATCTTAATTCACCGCAACCACTGACTCCCGGGGTCAAGCGATTCTCGCTCTGTGTGCCTCAGCTTCACAAGTAGCTGAGACGACAGGAGTGTGCCACCACATCCAGCTAATTTTTTGTATTCGTAGTAAAAATGGGGTTTCACCGTGTTAGCAGGATGGTCTTGATCTCCTGACCTCGTGATTCGTCCACCTTGGCCTCTCAAAGTGCGGGGATTACAGGTATGAGTCACTGCGCCTGGCTTTTTTTTTTTTTTTTTTTGAGATGGAGTCTTGCTCTGGTGCCCAGGCTGGAGTGCAGTAGCGTCATCTCGGCTCACTGCAGCCTCCATCTCCTGGTTCAAGCGATTCTCCTGCCTCAGCCTCCAGAGTAGCTGGGATTATAGGTGCCTGCCACCACGCCTGGCTAATTTTTGTGTTTTTAGTAAATACGGGTTTTCGCCATGTTGGCCAGGCTAGTCTCAAACTCCTGACCTCAAGTGATCTGCCTGCCTCGGTCTCCCAAAGTGCTGGGATTACAGGCGTGAGTCACCATGCCCGGCGCTGACTGGGTAATTTTATTTCACGTTTTCCTCTAGCACAGGGGTTTTCAGTGTCTACACTATTAACATTTTGGACTGGATGATTCTTTGCTGTGTGGGCCGCCCTGTGCATCGTTGGATGCTTAGCAGCTTCCCTGACCTCTATTTACTAGATGCCAGCAACACATCTCCAGCCGTGGCAGCCAGATTTGTTTTCAGACACTGCTGAATGTCCACTGGGGGACAAAACTCACCACCCTTCCCACTGAGAAAAACTTCTTTGTTAACGAGGTTACTCTAGAAATTTTAACATACTTAAACTCATCTATGTCTCAGATTAATCAGTGTGTTTATCCTTCTTCCAAACACAACAACTTTAAAGTACTTTAATTTTCCCTCACCTGTGTTTTAGCTGTTTTAAAAACTCATTGTTTAAATTAAAAAAAATTTATCATTGACAAATAAAACTTGTATTTATTTATCATGTACAACATGATGCTTTGAAATATGTATACATGTGGAATGGGTAAATTCAGCTAATTAAAATATGCATTACCTCATATACTTAACATCTTTTGTGTTAAAAAACACTTAAAATCTACTCTCTTAGTGATTTGCCAGAGAAATGTGGCAGTACCTGGAGTGGGGCAAGCAAGTCAAGAGTGGGTTATTCCAGGGGGGTGATATTTCACTATGATTGTATATGACTGGGTGGGTTCTGTATACAGGAAGCTGAGAAGTCCAGCTTCCGGTTACAATTCTGCATGTCATTTTACAGGCCTGGCTATGGGCAACTGCAAGGCCTGGTAGGTCTAACGGGGAGACTCCCTACCCACACCTGACTTGGCACAGCCAGGACACTGCAGTCCCTGGAGGGAGCTGAGGTCAAGGTTTCAGGCCCCTGACCTGCCAAGTTCTTACACACACCTGCATTCCCAGCCGTGGCTCCTTCATTCCCAGGTCTCTCTATCCAAGATCTTCTTCAGGTGCCTCTGCCATGGCTTCTTTATGCGAGGGAGAGAGTAAGGAGTGGAGAACCTTGAAAAGACATTGTTATCCCTTCTGACTCAGGGGTACTTTTCCCAAAGGTATTGTGTCAGCAAAAACCTCCAAAACAACAACTAAAAAAACCAATAATTTAAACTCGAGACCTATTATACAACATGTGGTGTGTCACTAACTATAATCTGACATGATACCCTTCAGGAAAAAAAGAGAAAAAAACTATTGTTTTATAGAGTCAATGTTTGTTTAGATTAACCAGAATATTTACCAGTTTCTTTCCTGTATTTCTTCATAATATCGCAGCATCCATCTGGGATCAATTTCCTTCTGTCTGAAATAATCCTTTAGGTCTTTATCTAATAAACATGTTTTGATGTCGAATTCTCACAGTTTTGTTTCAGTCTTTATTTTATCCCTTTTCCTGACAGATTTTTTTTTTTTTTTGCAAAATATACACTTCTAAGTTGACAAAGTTTGTGATGCACATGAAAGGAATCCTACCACTGTTTGCCTTCTGTTAGGGCTGATAAATCATCTGGAAGTTTGGTTGTTTTTCACCCTTGAAGGTAACCTGCCTTTTCTGGTTTTGGTGTTCTGCATTTTCACACTGATATGATTTCTTCTTATTTGCCCAGCTTGGGAATTGTTGAGATTCCTAAATTGGTAGACTGGTGTCTTTTATCAGCCATTGTCTTTTCAAATACTCGCATGCTGCTTTTGCTATATTCTCTCTCACCTCCTTCTGGGACTCTGGTTAGTAACCAACATGTAGTAGGTTATCTCACTCTACCCTTCATACGTCTTGTATCCTAACCACTCATATTTTCCATTCTTTTGTTTCTCTGTACTGTGCCCTAGATAATAACTTCTTTCGCTTTAAAAAAGTGTAACAAGGTCTTAAAATTCAACTTCAAAACTACATTTTATTTATTATTTACTTTTTTGAGATGGAGTCTCCCTCTGTCACCCAGGCTGGAGTGCAGTGGTGTGATCTTGGCTCATTGCAGTCTCCACCTCCCGGGTTCAAGTGATTCTCCTGCCTCAGCCTCCCAAGTAGCTGGAATTACAGGTGTGCACCACCATGCCTGGCTAATTTTTGTACTTTTAGTAGAGACGGGGTTTCACCATGTTGGCCAGGCTGGTCTTGAACTCCTGACGTCAGGTGATCCACCTGCCTCAGCCTCTGAAAGTGCTAGGATTACAGGTGTGAGCCACTACACCTGGCCAAATTTTATTTCTATATACATGCAGCAAACATTGAAAAAAGTTTCAAAAAAGCAATCACAGATCTACCCTCCCTATGATGGTTATTTTATGTGTCAACCTAGCTAGATTGATTGGGTAAAACATTAGTTTTGATGTTGGTGTGAAGGTATTTTTAAAGATGAGATTAACATTTAAATCCATGGATTTGTGAGTAAAGCAGATTACCCTCCATAATGTGGGTGAGTTCCACTTCTATCACTTGAAGGAAGGCCTTAAGAGAACAGAAGCCTGAGGTCCCTTGAGGAAGAGTTAATTCTGCCTCCAGACTGCTTTTGCTCAAGCTGAAACATCCACTCTTCCCTGGGTTTCTAGCCTGTTGGTCTGCCCTGCAGTTTTTGAACTTGCCAGCCTCCACAGTTCCTTAAAATAAATCTCTATGTTCATTCTATTGGTTCCGTTTCTCTGGAGAACCCTAATACCTTTCCTTTTCTTTTCTTTTTTTCTTTTTGAGACAGGGTCTCATTCCATCACCCAGGCAGGGCCAGAGGGCAATGGGGTGAACACATCTCACTGTAGTCTTGACCTCCTGGGCTCAAGCTATCCTCCCACCTCAGCCTCCTGAGGAGCTGGGACTATAGACAAATGCCACCGTACCTAATTTTAAAACTTCTTATAGAGAAGAGGTCTCACCATGTTGCCTGGAATGGTCTCAACTCCTGGGCCCAACTGATCCTCCCACTTTAGCCTCCCAAAGTGCTGGAATTACAGAAGTGAGCCATTGTACCTGGAGATTCCCTTTTTTGCTCAGTTCAAAGTCAAAATTAGTCTCAGCTGTGTCTAACCTGCTGTTAAGCCTGTCCCCTGGCTTTTCAAACTTCCACAACTATACTTTTTATTTCTAGGTTTTTTTTGTTTTTGTTTTTTTTTTAAATAACAGATCTGGCCCTCGACTGCAAATCTAGTTTTTGAAGCTTCAGACTGAGAGATCCCAGATGACTCAGACCTTGTACCTAGCACAGTGCCTGGTCAACAGCAGGCAGGGTCTACGAAGTACTTGTGGAATGAGTGGACATCAAGATGGCAAACTAGAGCCTTTTTCACACTGTGTGTATCTAACAATTACACACAGGTAGTATCATGTATCATGAACACATACAGTGCCACACAGAGTAACACTTTAATGGAGCACCAGCAGCATATAAAACATATATAGGTAGAAAAATAAATTCAGTCAAAGTACCCCAAAGAATCCAAAAGTCTGTGTTCTAGAAAGCATTGAGCTGACCACCCTTGAATTGAGGTTGATTTTCAGATCAATCTATCCATAATCTGGTAGAATGTTACAACATCTCCATTCTTATTCCTCATTTAAAAATTTTTAAATATTTCTGTTTCTCACAATTTTTTTCTTTTTTTTTTTTGAGACGGAGCCTCACTTTTTCACCCAGGCTGGAGTGCATTGCCGCTATCTTGGCTCACTGTGACCTCCTCCTCCTCGCGGATTCATGCAATTCTCCTGCCTCAGGCACTTGAGTAGCTGGGATTATAGGCATGCGCCATCACGCCCAGCTAATTTTTGCATTTTTAGTAGAGACAGGCTTTCACCATGTTGGCCAGACTGGTCTTGAACTCCTGCCCTCAGGTGATTCGCCTGCCTCAACCTCCCAAGGTGCTGGTATTACAGGCGTGAGCCACTGCGCTCAGCCCTGTTTCTCACAATTAAAACGATCCTATTTTAGTGATATAAGGGGCTGAAAATTACACTCTCAGTGGCCAACTTTTAAAAACATCGCGAGAGCCTTTATAAGGCAGTGAGTCCCCAAATGGAGTATTTTTGCCAAGCGAACCTTTAAAATGTAGCTCTTTGGTTGCTTAGATAAGTCCAGGGTCTGGGAGTTCCAGATGTGGGGCTGGCTTAGGAGGTCTTGGCCCTCGTTTTCCGCCCTGATCCCTCACTGAGGCAGATGTGAGATGGAGCACGTCACTGTGCCCAGCCGAGTGTGTTTCCTTCTCAGAGCCTAGCTCTGGGGTCCCTGCCCAGGCGGGGTCCCGAGGCTGCAATTGTCATCAGGATTCTGCTTGCTGCTCTCAGAGTCTTCTGCAATGACACTTAGCTTGTCGAAAACATCATTCTCATCCGAGAATGGAAAGGAGAAAAACAGAAGTGTGTTATGATGAGGATGGCCCAAAAACTGTGGAGGGAAAGAGGACAATTAATGATCAATTTTCTCCATTTCTTTTTGTAGGTTTACAAATATTTTTTCACAGAACTCCTGGCTGGAAAATTTATTTTATTTATTTATTTTTTAAATGTTTATTTCATTTTTTTTTTGAGATGGAGTCTTGCTCTGTCACCCAGGCTGGAGTGCAGTGGCACGATCTCAGCTCACTGCAACCTCAGCCTCCCAGGTTCAAGCAATTCTCCTGCCTCAGCCTTCCAAGTAGCTGAGATTACAGGCATGTGCTACCACACCTGGCTGAGTTTTGTATTTTTAGTATAGATGGGATTTCACCATGTTGGCCAGGCTGGTCTTGAACTCCTGACCTCAGGCAATGCACCTGCCTCGGCCTCCCGAAGTGCTGGGATTACAGGTGTGAGCCACTGTACCCAGCCTGTTTTATTTTATTTTTTGAGACAGGGACGTGCTGGGTCACCCAGGCTGGAGTGCAGTGGTGCGATCACGGCTCACTGCAGCCTTGACCTTCTTGGCTCAAGCGATTTTCCCACCTAAGACTTCTGAGTAGCTGGGATTACAGGCATGTGCCACCATGCCCAGCTAATTCTTTTTTTTTTTTTTTTGTAGAGATTAGAGATGAGGCCTCACCAAGTTGCCCAGGCTGGTCTCCAACTGCTGGGCTCAAGTGATCCTTCCATCTCAGCGTCCCAAAGTGCTGGGATTATAGGTATGAGCCACCATGTCTGGCCAAAAATGCTATTTTATTTTAATTAATTAATTATTTTTTTTTTAATATGAGACAGATTCTCATTCTGTCGCCCAGGCTGGAGTGCAGTGGCGTGATCTTGACTCACTGCAACCTCCGCCTCTCAGGTTCAAGCGATTCTTGTGCCTCATCCTCCCGGGTAGCTGGGACTACAGGTGTGCACTACCATGCCTGGCCATTTTTTGCATTTTCAGTAGAGACAGGGTTTCATCATGTTGACCAGGCTGGTCTCAAACTCCTGACCTCAGGTGATCCGCCCACCTCGGCCTCCCAAAGTGCTGGGATTACAGGTGTGAGCCACTGTACCCCCCTAAAAAGGCTATTTTAAAAAGTGATGGGCAAGGCGCAGTGGCTCACATTTGTAATCCCAGCACTTTGGGAGGCCGAGGTGGGCGGATCACCTGAGGTCAGGAGTTTGAGACCAGCCTGGCCAACCAACATGGTGAAACCCCATCTCTACTGAAAATACAAAAAAAAAAAAAAAAATTAGCTGGGCGTGGTGGTAAGCGCCTGTAATCCTAGCTACTCAGGAGGCTGAGGCAGGAGAATCCCTTGAATCTGGGAAGTGGAGGTTGCAGTGAGCCAAGATTGTGCCACTGTACTCCAGCCTGGGCGACAGAGCAAGATTCCTTCTAAAAAAAAAAAAAAAAGAAAGTGACAACAGTATGATGGTTCCTCAAAAAATAAAAATAGAATTACCATCTGATCTAGTAACTCCACTCTTAGGTATTTACTCTAAAGAACTGAAAACAGGGTGTTGAAGAGACATTTGTACATCCTGTTCACAGAGGCATTTTCATAATAGCTGAAAAGCTGGAAGCAGCCCAAGTGTCCACCCACCAATGGATGGAGGAGTGAAGTATGGTCTATACACACAATGGAATGTCATTCAGCCTTATACAGAATAGTTCTGACACCTGCTAAACAGGGATGAACTTTAAAGACATAATGCCAAGTGAAGGGCCCGGTGTGGTGGCACAGGCCTGTAATCCCAGCTATTCGGGAGGCTGAGGCAGGAGAATTGTGTGAACCCTGGAGGCGGAGGTTGCAGTGAGCTGAGATTGCGCCACTGCACTCCAGGCTGGGTGACAGAAAGAGACTTCATCTCGGAAAAAAAAAAAAAAAAAGAAAGACATGCCAAGTGAAATCAGCCAGACATGAAAAGACAAATACTGTATAATTCAGCTTATATGAGGGACCTAGACTAGTCAATTTCATTAAGGCACACAGAGTGGTGGTGGCTGCCGGGGCCTTGGGTGGGGAGAAGAGGGAGTTACTGTTTAATGGGCAGAGAGCTTTGGTTTTGAAAGATGAAAAAAGTTCTGGAGACGGATGGTGGTGATGGCTACACAGACAGATGAATGTGCTTAATGCCACTGAATTGTACTCTTAAAGAGGATTAAGGTGATACATTTTATGTTATGTCTATTCTGCCACGATTAAAAACATACATGACAATAAATATGCAACACATTTGCTAAGTGATCACATGTCACCTTCTAATAGTTCCTCTTTTCAACCAGGAGGGAACATTTTTATTCTGATCATGATGTGGTGAGGCTGTCACACCTCTAGGAAGCAGGCACGTCACAGGCCCTGGATAAATGTGTCTTGGAATAACAAACAGAATCTCCCATGTGTCCTCTGGCTGAGTTAGGGGCCCTCTGGTGCTCCCCAGCATCCCACAGGCCCCTGGATTTCAGCACTACCGACCACCTGAACTGTGGCTAGTTTGAGTAGATATGTTGCTGTAAGTGGAAATTATATACCAGATTTCAAAGACTGTATGAAAAATAGAATGTAAAATATCTCAATCATTTTTTAAAACATTGACGACTTATTGAAATGATGCTATTTTAGATATACTGGCTTATATAAAATATTAATGTTAATTTCACTTGTTTCGACTTTTTTTTTTTTGAAATGGAGTCTCGCTCTGTCACCCAGGCTGGAGTGCAGTGGTGTGATCTCAGCTCACTGCAACCTCCAACTCCTGGGTTCAAGTGATTCTCCTGCCTCAGCCTCCCCGGTACTGGGATTATAGGTGCCCGTGACCATGCCTGGCTAATTTTTATATTTTAGTAGAGATGGGGGTTTCACCATGTTGGCCAGGCTAGTCTCGAACTCCTGACCTCAAGTGATCCACCACCTCAGCCTCCCAAAGTGCTGGGATTACAGGCATAAGCCACGGCATCTGGCCTCTTTTGATTTATTATTTATTATTATTATTATTTTTCTATAGGTGGGGATACTCACTGCTATACAAACAAGGATTTTTTTTTTTTTTTTTTTTTTTTTTTTTTTGAGACGGAGTCTCGCTCCATCGTCCAGGCTGCTGTGCAGTGGTGTGATCTCGGCTCACTGCAAGCTCCACCTCCCGGGTTCACGCCATTCTCCTGCCTCAGCCTCCCGAGTAGCTGGGACTACAGGCACTCACCACCTCACCCAGCTAAATTTTTGTATTTTTAGGAGAGACGGGGTTTCCCAGTGTTAGCCAGGATGGTCTCAATCTCCTGACTTCATGATCCGCCTGCCTCGGCCTCCCAGAGTGCTAGGATTACAGGCGTGAGCCACTGCGCCTGGCCCAATCTTTGGACTTTTAAAAAATATGGTTACTAGCAAATCCAAAATACACATGGCTTGCAATATGTTCTATCAGACAGAGCTGCCTTCTCACTTTTAATGGACACCAACTCTTCTCAGTTTGTGTCACCTGTAGCCAGGGCTCCTAAAGGACAGGGACCACAGTCTGATAATCTTTGTCTCTCTGGTGCTTTGAACAATGAAGATGCCCCTATATGTTTCCTGAAATCTCTGCTGGTTTCCCACTCTCCATTCTTCATCTTCCTAGGTTCACCAATGCTCTTAATCTTCATAATTAGATGGAGAACCTTCTCTAAACCTTTGCATCTTGAACCCCTCCCCTCCAGATGGAACCCCTCTCAGTGTCATTTCTACACTCAGCCTTCTGATATGACTTAATGGAACCTGAGGGTGGCTGCACTACCTCCTGGCGTGGACCTGTTGGGATTTTCCCTTGTGGGTTTTGAGCAGCTGATGGAGGGTGGTGGGGTGCTCCTCTGTTGGGCCAAGAAGGAGGCTGGAGGGAAGGGGAACCTCTCTAAACTTCGGATCCAGTGGACTAATGAGAATGGGCTGGAAGCTACTCTGGATTTTCCTGGGATAATGGGGACAGGAGAGATCAAAGGAAGGTGTATTGAATCTCAAGGAAGCAGTATCAGCTGAGTCTCCTGGTTGGACACACACACACACACACACACACACACACACACTGGTGGCTGGCTCAATAGATGAGTGTAGGATGAACCTCCCTAGTGCTTTTTTAACTCAGTCTCCATCCCCAGCAAATCTTCCTAAACTCTAAATGATCCTTTGGGTCCTGGTTAATAGATTCGATGCTTTATGAATCAAGCTGGAGAAAGTCGTGATGTGATGTGAGGACCCCGAACTGCTCCGTAGTTGCCCAACCCCTCTCCAGCACCCTCCACTCTCTTCTCTGATTTCTCAGCTCTTACAGGGGCTGGCTCCACGGTCAAGTCTGCAAAGTCTTCTAGCCTTGGAGGTGAGAGCTCATGCCAGCAGGCCCCTTTACAGTTCGTTCCGTCTGTTCTTTCCTATCTGACCAGTTTCTTTGATCGTGAAGCCAGAAGCAAAAATAGCAGGTGAATAATTTTGTTTCCTGTTGGTTCTCAGTTAACACAAAACCTTTGACCCAAGCAAAGGGCCCACCCTCATTCTTTGTTCCTCCTGCTGCAGCTGTGGCTTCTTAACAGCTCACAGAGGATTCTTAGTGCATTCTGGTGCTGCAGTCTCAATGGCACTTTTTTTTTTTTTTTTTTTTTTTTTTGAGCTCGAGTCTCACTCTGTCGCCCAGGCTGGAGTGCAGTGGCGTGATCTCTGCTCACTGCAACCTCGGCCTCCCAGGTTCAAGCGATTCTTGTGCCTCAGCCTTCTGAGTAGCTGGAATTACAGGCGTGGCTAATTTTTGTATTTTTGGTAGAGACAGGGTTTCACCATGTTGGCCAGGCTGGTCTTGAACTTCAGACCTCAAGTGATCTGCCAGCCTCAGACTCCCAAAATGCTGGGATTACAGGTGTGAGCCACCATACCTGGCCTGGCACTCTTTGTAGGGGGTTCTAGTCGCTCTGAAACACTTGCCTATGGTCCTGTGCCCCACTTTCCACTGAGGGTAGATGCAGTGCTGTGTTGCCCAGATCCCTTTTGTGGT